AAGCTAGGAAGAGACAATAAAGGATGTAGCATAGCCCATGATGTTGTAGGCAGCTGAGTTAGATAGAAATATTATAGGCAGTCAGACAGGGCCAGGCCCTTGAAGGAGACAGCACAAAAGATGGCCTTACAACTGTGGGAGGGGCGGATACTCCTGCTGTGAACCAGACCTAAAGACCGGCCAGGGAGTTAGCTCAGTAGAATAAGTGCTTGCCAAGCGCAAGGGCCTGAGTTCAATCCCCGGTTGGGGGGGGGGGGACCTAAAGGCCAAACAAATGCTAAAAGAGTAGCACCTGGGATTGATATTCTAAATAGGTAACAATCACCTGGAAAGACCCAAGTGAGTCACTAGCCCAACCCCCAACGGGAAGAGACCCTGTCCTGTATTCCAACCCCCAACAGGAAGAAACCCTTCCCCATATGTAATCCCATTGGTTGACCATAGTTTCGTCCCATCCCACATCCACTTAAGAGAGTTCCCATTCTCTCCACCTTAGTCCCACATGGTTTTATACTATGAAAGTCCCTGGGAGAGACAGCTTCCTGGGGAACAACCCGCTCGGGAGCCCCTCCTGTCCCTCTCTAGGACAGGAGCTTTTGTTCTCTCAATAAACATGTTCTGCTCATAACCTGCATTTGTTCCTAAAATTCATTCTTCAGTTTTAGAGAACACAGACTCATACAGGTCAGGTAGGGAGATCATTTTTCCCTATGTCGTTTGGAGGTTCCCTGTATAGTTTGGAGGTCACTCATCCAAGATCAGTTTTTCTCCCTGTATCATTGACACCTCCATTCTAGACTTCTGGATTTCAGATCCACAAGACAGTAAATTTGTATTGTTTTAAGCAACTCAATTTAGGGTGCTTTATTACTTTAGCCCCAAAACACTCACTAAAACCAACTGAGAATTGAAACTCAATATAATTAGAATCTATAAAATTACTTTTATAATAGTACGAGGAAAAGTATCCTGCTAACATAATTTTAAAAATGCCTGTGCTACTTACAGTTGAAGCAAATATTCATATATTCTTAAGTAGATATTGACATAAATACCACATGAGCCATAAAATGTATACAGTGCTATTGAAATGCGAGAGCAACCATTGAAAAGAATTTGCATGAGGTTCATCAGGGCAAAATTTCATCTCTATGTGGATAATAAATAATGTACTCTGAAGCTTGTGTATTATTCTGATTCTATATTTTCTTCTGCCCCTATTTTGATTTTGAAAAATATGCTTAGCAATTATACTGTGACAGGTGAGGACAAATAAAATAATACAAATTTTAGCTTTTTTTTTTTTTTTAAGGAAGGAAAGATTTACTTACCTCACAGTTAGTGGAGGTTTCAGTCCATACTTGACTGGCTCCAAAGTAGGGTGGCAGCTCCAAGGTAGAGTGGCACATCGCAGAGGACAGCAGCTCGTGGCAGCACAAAACAGCAAAGAGCAAAGGGAGGAGCAGTGGCAGCAGAGGCCATGAATTTTAGTTCTTGGTACTAACTGGCTAACTGCTTTTATTACATGAAGCTTGGTAAGAAGGGAATTTAATAACATATGAAAAATGAATTTTTAGGGTTATATATATGTTCTTCTCTCTCTCTCTCTCTCTCTCTCTCTCTCTCTCTCTCTCACACACACACACACGCACACACACACACTCCAGAATTGCTCATTGTTTAGTTGTAACAGCGGATTTCAACACCAGGAGCTAACAGGACAGGTACTATGACAGCTCCCAAACAAAGGGAAAGTTTCTTGGCACCAAAGGGTCCCTTAAATTCCCCCAATGAGACCAGCATCTAGTCAGATTTTTGAGAAGCATCACTTTTCTATTCATGGAGGTCTCTATAAGCCTTTACCCTTCTAATCATTCTGTACACTTAGGCTTTTGTTGTTTTTACTGGTAGAAATTAGCATAATGCAGCCTGCAGGCCCCTGATCATCTCTGGGTATTTACTGCTATATGGGCTGATTTGAAGTTTAAATTTTCACATAGGTCCTTAGTAGGACCAAGCCTGAAATTTATCTGAGAGATCCATTACTGCAAATATATAACTAGGATTACAAGTAAAAAGATAAATCTTATTGACAAAATACATACAAAGCTAATATTTTCTAATTATTGATAGTATTCTAGTTTTTGTGTGAGGTACTCCCAGATAAACTTATTTAATATCTTTAAATTTTAATTTTTGACATTTTATAGAAACCATGTACATACATTCTGTAAACATGAAAATATTGTCTGGTGAATCATTTATAGTTTGTTTTAAAGGGTTGCTTCCCCTTTGAAAACAATATTCATTGGCATGTATAGTTCCTTAATTAAAAAATTTGTTAAATAACATGGACAAGTCTTTTATATTAAATAGTCTTTTAGGGCCGGGGATGTGGCTAGGTGGCTCAGCGCCTGCCTAGCAAGCGCGAGGCCCTGAGTTCGATTCCCGGTACCAAAAAAAGAAAATAGTGAAAATAAGACCAAAAAAAAAAGTCCTTTGAAAAAAAAAATAGTCTTTTAATATAAATAGTCCACCCCTCCTTACTCCCAATTCATTTTCATTAGTTCAATAAATGTTAATATTTTTAGTTATTTTGGTTAGCATTTGCTTTCTTATTTCTAAATAAAATGTACATACAAGTATTTCTTGAATTTTGAGTTTTACTGATAATTTATTAATTTCATTCTATGGAAGATGAAGACATAGCTCTCCTATACCCCCTTTTTTCACATACATTTTATTTCCTCCTCCTTTGGACATACTTTTAAATAACATTATTTTGACTATGTAAGTATTATTTATACTTAAGTCATACAGCATAGTAGGATTTCATTTTTTTCTTAAAAAATTTGTTAAATAACATGGACAAGTCTTTTATATGCATTTTTTGTTTACTTTGTTTCTGTGTTTTTATTAGGAATTTATCCCCAGGTTCTCAGGAGAAATCACCTCTGAACATGGTTTTCTGTCCTTACATTCATCTGAAGTTTCTTCCTGCTGTTTCTCTTCTTGCTATTCTCTTTCTGCTGTTTCAAGTTAGTTGTTTTGTAAGTCTGATGTAAAATTATTTTCTGGAGCTCTTCCTTCTATTATTATCTCAAGATTCTTCTCCAGGCCTGCTTCCTAGGTTAAGGTCCTCATGTCCTTGGGTCCTACTTCTTTCTCTTGGTTTACTCTCCTTGTGTGGAGCATATTGTCCAGGAGTTTCTCTTTCTTTTCTTTCTTTCTTTCTTTCTTTCTTTCTTTCTTTCTTTCTTTCTTTCTTTCTTTCTTTCTTTCTTTTTTGGTGTATTTGGTACAGGGTCTCACTACGCAGATCAGACCCATAGTGATCCTCCTGTTTTCAGCCTCCTAAGCCTGGGATTACAGGCATGCACCACCACACCCGGTCTCAGCTTGCCCAGGGGTGGGGCTGGCGTGGCATATGGTGCTAAGGATCGAATCCTTGTCCCTGTGTTTGCCTAAGTAGGCTCTTAGTCCATTGAGCTGTCTCATTAGCCCTGTCTAGAAGTTTCTAGAAAATGTTACATTTTAGTTTCATATTTCATTGATAACTTTGTTGCATGTAGTTCCTTTTCCTCAACACTTTGAGGCATTTCTCCATTATCATTAAGTGTTAATGGTGCTGTTGAGAAATTTCACACTCCTCATGTCCTCATTCCTTTGTCTAGGGTCTTTTCCTGCCCTCTGGAAGCTTTTAGGTCATCTCTTTATCCTGGTGTTCATGATATGTATTGGTCAGGCAAATCACCTAAGAGGATTTTATTTGCTTCTACCAATTGCTTGAGTGTATTACCACTCTGGTATTAACTTGAATTAAATTCTTGGCTAGGGGTTTATCTGACCAGTTAAGTAGTCTGAATTTGGGCCATAAGCCTGTGTAAGAGCTAATCTGTGGTTCCAATCTCTCAGTGACAATTTCCCTCTGTTCCATGCTTACCCAAACTCAAAATGGTTAATTTTCCTAATGGTCCATTAGGAAAGTAGTGTGGAGATTTATTTCTAATTACACTGAAGGTACAACCCTCAGGAATCCCAGAGGTATATGTATTTCCTCATTAATATGTTAGACTTGCCTACATGGAATAGTTCTGGGCTTTGCTTTCTGGTCCCATTCCTCAAAATGCTGTGAAAAGCAGTCTGTAGTTGGCTACTTTGACAAATGCTTCAGGATTAATAGTGAGGCATTTTTTTTTCTAGATTCCTGTCTTCACTTACTTTAGGTCTCCTTATTTTCTTGTTTGATGATTTTAAGGTGATTAAAAGTTGTATTTTGTCTAGAAGTTTTATTTCCAGTACAGATAGCTGTCATCTTCCTGGAAATGAAAGTCTATGTAAACTTTCTAAACCTCAGTTTCCTCATTTGAAATATATATTATGAAGGATAAGTGAGATTATTAATGTGAAGCTCCTAACTCTGCACCTGGTACTTCAATATTTACCTTTTTTTTTAAAGTGAAGTTCTCAGAATCTAAATGTAATTTGCTCTATTTTTCTGTATTTTTATAGGTAAACATAGTACAAATACTAGGGTATGAAGATACTGAAAAACTTATAGAGAAATTAAAAAGAAAAAATATTAAGAAATAGAATTGCTTTTCATTTCAAAATTTTCATTCACAATGAGAACAAAGAAATTGAACATTATAAGTAGACTAGATTTTAATTGAGGGTATGCAGGTTTTTTTTTTTTAAAGGTAATTCCTCAACTAATCTGTGCTTTTCTTGAGACAAGTGAATTTGACAATATCCCTTCCATTGTAATCAACTAAAGATCCTAAAAGGATATAAAATGCATGTCTTTCCTTATAACAAACTAGGCTATACTCTAAGTTTTACTGTTTTCTGTTGTTGGAAAGTGTCAAATTGCATGAGATGATCTTCTTAAACTCCATAGACATGCATACTCTAAGTCGTTGCCTTCTTGAAATCGGCTTTCACCTGGTATTGTGCAGCCTTTGGTGAGAATCAGCTGTCTCTCTGGGAGCTGACTTAACTCAGGGACACTTCTTTAGCAGGTGCATCGTGATGTTCTTCACTGCCAGCATGGTCTCTGTACAGGTGGGTCTGATGAGCATCTCTGGGAGTAAAAATCCAAAATGCCCAGTGTCGCGTAGTTCAAAAGCAAATGCATAGGGTATTCCATTTTTGTAAGCCCAATCCATTGAGCTACCAGAGCTTACATCTAGAATGAATGAATAAATGAATGGATGAATGAATAAATAAAATTAGAATTAGCTTCACAGCAGAGTTTGCATAATTTTCAAAATATGTATGTATAGTGCTTGCTTTCAAAGCTAAACTTAATTACCCCAGTGAAATAACTTTTCAATAAGTATAATATAGTTCTTTGACATCTGGATCATGGAACTTGTAAATTATACTTGTATCATCTTTGAAGATCTAGTCTATGTATTAATGCTTTGCCAGTATGATAACATTAAAATTTCTCAATCTCAAGTCCAACAACATTTATCTTCATTTACCAATAAAAAAAACTTACACTGGGACTTCCTAAAATATTCTTTTAGTTCTTATCATTCAGTTTTTCTCTACTTCAAAGGTCTAGAATATTAAAGTTCTATTTCTAGAAAGTCACCTCATTTTTTTCTTCCTCTTTCATTTTTCATTCCTGCCTTTACTATTCTTCGCTTTTACTTAACCTTGTAGTTTCTAGGTTTTTCCTTGCCTCTTGTGGTTTTATTTGATTTTCCATTTGGTCACAGTCAATTATTTCTCTAAATTTTTCACCAGGCTCTCCAAATGTCTTCTCCCAAAATGTCTTTTCACCCCTAAAGACCTAGTGTATAGTTTTTAGTATAACAGGCTAAAATAATATGTTTCATAGAAAAATTTTGGTGTACTTTTTTCCTGAAATTTATATTATCTAGTTTGATACACTATTATAAAATTTCTATTTTTTAAAAAATTTATGTATTTTGTACAGGGTCTTATCACACAGCTTGACTACTAGTGATCCTCCTGTTTTCGGCCTCTCCAGTGCTGGGATTACAGGTGTGTGCCACCATGTCTGGACTTGTGGCTGGCTCAGCACACCTGGGGGCAGGCCTGGCAAGGCATGCGGTATCAGGGATTGAACCCTTGTCCCTGTGCTTGCCTAAGCAGGCATTTAGTCTTCTGAGCTAACTTTCTGGCCCTTAAATTTCTACAGTATGTTTATTTGCTCACACAAAATTACTTTTTATGCTATTTTTTTCTAGGATAAATTAGGAGGAGTCTTTATGTAAAGATGACAACTAAATTACTCTGTTCTTCCTCAGATTCATTTTGCTTCAGTTAAAGATAGAGATAGTCTATGGCTTCACTGTTAGTCTGGTTAGCCTACACCAGAATTACAAATAGTAGTCATATAACCAGAGTCAGAGATAATATGTGCCAATGGTTACATCATGGTGATATGACAGTTTCATTTCTATGGAAATGAAGATCATTTTTAGTTAAGTATTATACTACGACTGTGCCTTTATACCAAGCTGAAAGATGAACTGTAATATTTTTAAAAATTAGTGTACAATTGTAAGAATGTCATTATGTTGGTCTCAGTTGGAAATATAATTTTTTTTAAATACAGTTTTTCCCCCTTTCATGATTACTACTGGAAAACAATTCTATAAAGTCAACATGAGACTAATGATTATGAACTTAAAAACAATTATTGATGATTGTGTTAATTTCATTATTAAGATGAATTTCTGACAAAAAATGTTGACACATCATGCTTTGTTCTGAAGGCTAAAGAAAGTGAAGGGTGAGATACAGATTGATAAAAGAAATTAATGAAGACTGCTATGTTATTGAGAAACAATAATATGATATTTACCTATACATACACAGACAGCTTATGTGGTTACAGAGATATTCAAGTATATAAGACCTATCACTAGATTTTTACCAGTTATGCAGTCAGTACATTTTAGAATTTGAAAGGGCATGAGAAATAATCTGATCCAATTCCTCATGTTATAGTTGTTGGAACTAAAGCTAAGAATTAATAAATATTTTGGCTACACTGACCCACCTGACAGATTTTGGACTAAAACACACATCTAGTTCTGTGTCCAAGTTCTCTTTATATCACCAGTTGGTTTTTATTTCATATAAAAGAAGAAACACTTTTAAGTCACCTTTTAAGGGAAAACATCAGCTGAAGATTCATGTAAGAAATAACTTTTCATAAAAATAGGGGAGGAAATGAATAAGAGGGAAGCTGTTATTTAGCTAAAACGTTTACTTCATTATCTTCTCAAGGTCCTTTCCACTCATACTGTAGTAATAATTACTTAAGAAGCTCTTGTCCCTCTTTTTGGTTCTGGGAATCGAACTTAGGACCTTGTGCTTGCCAGGAAGGTGCTATGCCACTGAGCTATAACTCTGGCTCCAAGAAACCCATTTTGTTACTTTCTATTGTCATATGATCTCAATTCAACTTGTAGTCATTATCACACGCCTAGCAGAGTCTTTTCTTAGAATTTGTTAAATTGATATTTCCATCAGGCTACGTAAAACTAACCAGACATAAGCTCTTTCCATCTTCCTTGGCATAAATTTCATATTAGGGAGAACCTTTTGAAAGAGAAGTCAGGATACGGAATAGTAGTTCAAGAGAGACAAAACAAGGTACACAGGAAACTTACACAATGTTCTGGAGGCAGGTCCATATCTGTACCTTATCCCATATGCCGACCGAAGTGCTTTCACAGCTTTGAAAGCAGCAGATTCCTTTAAGGGAAAATGGATAAACGATATCACTTGTATTGTCAGACTGAAATTTCAGGAAACACTGATGTGTTGCCTAAGCCTTATTGGTCATCAGCTCAGAGAACATGATGGGCACATTAGTTAAGAGCTATTAATACTACCATGACTACTACTACTGATGATGATGATGATGATGATAATGAAGTATGCATTTTGCAACATATTCTAGAACACCACGTTTCGTTTTAATGTTCTTCACAGCAACCAGTGATCAATGATGTTTCTATTTTCCAGATGAGAAAGGAAGGCTTATGAGATTAAATGGGGTTAAACAGCACAGAATGAGCTAGGATAAGTATCAATATTTTCTGAGGCTGATTTAGTGTTTGTCCTCTTTACTGTAATTCAGAGATGCTTATTTCAATGTATGATAAAAATGTTTGATAGAGCAGGGACAATGTCAGTCTCCCTCACAGCTCACTCATATCCAGTCCTTAGCAATGTGGCTGTGTATAAAAAAATGCTTATTGCATATTTCCTGTATGAATGTTGAATAAGCACAAGTCTGAAAGGGTATTTTGACAATCATATTGATCCTTGAGTATTTTTCAGAGGACATGTACAAGGTATTTAAAACACATTTGGATCAATTAAGAAACCATCAAGAATGAATGTCTTCTATTATGCTATATGTTTATCCCTAATGGAAATGAGAATATCAATGCCAGGGTACTCTTGACTGTAAGGTCCATGACCTCTCATGGAACTTAGCTAGGTATTGCCAAGATACAGAAATTCTAAGGTGGACCCATTCCTGTCAGTGCCAGAAATCAGTAAAAATAATCAATACAATCAAAGTTCCTAAAAGCTTGATATTCTAACATGAACTTGGATATTGGTTGTCCTTTAAAACATTTTCAAACAATGTAAAGGCACTAGTTTCAAAGTAGAGAAGTATTGGGTGACAAGTGAGAGGAAAAGAACTATATTGAAACCAGTATACAACTCTCCCATTTCAGTTCTCCTATGAATAATGTAATACTTTAATTGAAGCTCTCTGGACAACGTGGTGGTGTGTGCCAGATTGAGCCTCAAGTTGTTGTTCTCATTCAGCTCAGGGAAGGATAAGGTAGTATTTGCAACAAATGCCACCTTTTGTGGCTATTCAGGGACCAGTCTTCAAGAGCTGGCAGGCTATTTTATTATTGATCTCACTGATGATGACATTCTTCTCACAAGAGCCAACAGAAAAGAAATGTAAACACCATCATAAGCCATCTTTATGGAGAATGTCTGAAGATTTTAACATCTTCTCCAATTGCTTTAGCAGTATTGCATGGCAAAGGCAGATATTTCTACATTTAGAACATTACTGCTTTCTGCTGGTCAGGCAACTTTTGTTTCTTATTATTTCAGATGACTAATGAAAAAACTATTAAGAATTTTAAAAGGGGACCTCTTTGCTTACTTAAACAAAGCATGAGCATAGTTTTAACCTTGTGAGGTCACCATACTTTTTTCATTTGAATACAGGTGCATGTTAATAAGTGGTTGAGATGTAATCTATTTTTAAAATAATGGTCATTTTGTAACTTTTCTCAATAATTATTTTTCAAGGTGACAAAATTGGATATTATTTTAAAGACTTAAGTGACTCCTTTCCATAGCATTTCTTTTTTTCAATTGTGAAAAAGACCCGGATTTACTGGCCCTCAGCAAATTAAGGACTATATTTTATTTAGATATTGCCACATTGAAAGCAGTTTAATGAATGACTTTAAAATGTTAGTAGAAACATAGACTTTTCCATACTGATAATAAGTTTTTGAAACATTTAATAGAATTCCATGGTTTCTGGCTATCATTCAGTGATCACAGAGATTTGAGAATGTTTAATCTTAGTTTTAGTGATTTAGCTTATGCTTAACCTGCTTGAGGATTTCTCAACAATGGCACCATTGATGTTTAGAATGAATAGTACTTTGCTGTGGGGGCTGTCTTGTGCATTGTAAGATGTCTAGCAATATCTTTTGCTTCTACCCACTAGATGCCAATTGCCAACAGTAATAATTGAAAATATCATAGGATGTGGTGCTACATGCCTGTATTCTGAGATCTCTGGGAGGTTGAGGCAAGGTGTTTGCAAATTTGAGCACAGTTCAAGCACAGTTTGGGTAACAGCAACTTAGAAAAACCTTTTCTCATGATAAAAAGAAAAGGAGCTGCTAGGGATGAAGCTCAGTGCAAAGGGCCTGGAATTAATCACCAGGACAGCAAAAAACAAAAACAAAACAAAACAAAAAACCCCAAAATAAAAAACAAACAAAGAAAAAAACCAACACTAATTTACTACCAAACAAACACATGATAGCTACACATTAAGGAACCAACCAACCAAACAGACCGAAACAAAACTCCAGATATTGGGTGGCAGGTGTCTTCTTGGTTGTAAACCTTTTAACTACATTTATGCCATATCTTTCAAACAAAGACAAAAGAAAACAGGCTGAACTCATGCTCAGAAGATAAAGTTAAAATATGGAGAACATTTCTCATCATATATTATAAGAATATGAATAGATATTATGCCGAAAAGGGGTGGAGGGTTGCCCGTAGAAATATGACAGAGGTAGTTTAGGTTTTCAGGTCAATAAAAACACCAGTTTTTATTGCATCAGAACCAGTAATAAAAAGAAATCCTATCTGATCCACAGAGAAACTGAGAAATAGCAATATAGAAAATAACTATTACCTTACAATATTTCTAAAGAGAGAAGTTGCTCAGAATTCTTGGAATTCCAAGAAGAAAGGCTCTAAGGACAGAGTATAAGCCTTTCCTGGGTTTTCTTATGGCTTCCTCATGTCCCCTATTCCATCCAGTCTTGAATCTTTAGATCAGAATTCCCCAAATCACAAAGCATTTGGTGCAGGATCTGGGGCTCAAGGAAGAAGAATAGTTTTATAAAAGTTTTTATTCTAGTAACTAAAAAAAAATAAATATTTGGCTTTTGTTCCTGATTCTTCATACACAGTTCCTAAGACTCTAGGAGCTTCCAGAAAGTGTTTTGTATGTTAATGAGCTGGCTGGTGGCTAGTGCACCAGATAGCTTCTGAATGGGGCCTAGCGTTGGAAAGACCAAACCATGTGATCTGGTGGTTGAAACTTTGAGGCCTATTCTTTAACCTCGAAGGAGGACAGGGGGACCAGACATGGAGTTTAGCACCAAAGGCCAGTAATTAAGTCAACTGTGCCAACATAATGAAACTTCCATAAAAAATACTCTAAAATGGAGCATGGAGAACTTTCGAGTTGGTTGACACATCCAGATGCTGGGAGGGTGGTGTAACCAGAGAAGGTGCAGAAGCTCTGTGGTCTCTGCCCTCTGCCTTGTACTTGAGTTGTGTGCTTTCTATAAACTGGTAGCAGTGCAGCATTTCCTCTGTGAGTTGCTCTATGAGATGCAGTAAATTAGTGAAACTGAGGACAGGGTTGTGGAAACCTAGAATCCCTTGATGGAAATTGATGCTCAAGTAGGAGAGTCATAGAGGACTGAGGCCTTAACCTATAGACACCCAGCTGGGATCTGAGAAGTGATGTTGGAAAAGAAGCCACACATTCGGTGTCAGGAATTAGGAAAAAAACCCTCAAATGTAGAGAAGAGTATAAAAATTTCCAATTTACAACTCAACAAATGATTGTAAATTACTATATTCCTATAACCATTGTCTAGGTCAAGGAATAGAACAGCAGCAGCAACCAAAACCACTTTGTTCCTCCTTTCAGGCACTGCCTCCCTTCCCTTTTCCCAAGGGTAATTGCTATCCTGACTTCTAACACTGTTCATTAGTGTATCTTGATTTTGAACTTCATAGGCTTTTAGATGCTATGGGCTCTGAAATGAAGTCACTTTACAATGAATTACACTCTACAGGGGACAGCTTATTGGGTTTTGGTGATAAAAAGCTCTTCTGCTTTTTCATTTTCAAGTAATCTTATGCCTGAAAGTCTGTTCATTCTTAGTACTAATTTTTCAGATGCTTATGTCCAGAGACTTAGTAGTATTAAGCAAATAGAACTTATATATGAAAGCTTGCTTTTTAATTAATGAGAGTGAGCCTATAATTTATGAACAATTATTGACTCAATAAAGTTAATTACAGCCTGGCATATGTGACCAAAGCTGCAATATTAATCAAATCCATTCTGATCTTTTCTGTATAACCTGTGGTAGGAATGCAAATAGGTTTAAAATAACTGCATTTGAAAAGCAGTATGCTAGTTAAAAATAACTCCAGAGCTGGAGTTAGAGCTAAATCCTTAACACTTAGTAGCTCTGTATTCTTAGTCTAATCTCTCTGGGTCTCGGTTTTCTCATCTGTAAACTAGGGATAAATTATGTAGACTCAAGTGGTTAATATATAAAATACTATGAAGACGAAATGAGTTAATATATAAAAATCATGAATAATAAAGTATGTGAAAATTATCAAGAATAAATAAGTTTTTAAGTACATGTTTTCTATTATCACTAGTACTTAGAACCATATTAGCATCAGAAAGGAAGCATGAAATCATAGGATCTAGTACTTACCACACAGCTAAAATTGGGGATTGTTGCATATTTATAAGAATAGGGATACAGCAACATCTGAGCATACGCATGGAAGGAGAGATATGCCTTAATGTGCTTCCTGTGTTTTCGGAGGAAGTTAGCTACAGCCTTGACCTCTGGTTCAGATTCTGGGAAAGGGCCACAGTAGGTATCATCGCAAGGGTGCAGGGAGGCTCCTTCATCTGCAAATGAGAAAGTGAATTAATTGGGTTGGGATGCACGTAGGGAGGAAGCAAGAAACACAATTAACATTGTTTAACTATGTTTAAAATGGTTTTCCTGTAAAATTTTGATATTAGAAGAAACTCATTTATAGAAATTAATACTGAAAATTCTGATATTATTCCAACTTTTACGTATAATAAAGTGCCTGAAAGGAAACCAGGTTCTGATTGTTTAGATCTGTAGTAACCATTTTAAAGGACTGCCTCTTTCACCTGTCAGTTCTTTTGCTGGAAAACTACATAATCCCTCCAAGCAGGTTTGGCCTCTCATTTATATGCCCCACAACTCTCATTTATATGCTCCTGCACTTTCTTTTCATAACATTCAGCATGGTTTTAATTAGTGCTCAATATTTACCCATTTAACATTCAACTAATGTTTACACTGTTCTAGATGCCTGCGAGACACTGAGCCTGTGTCTTAATATAACCTACATTCTTCCTGGATTCTTTGTTGAGCTCCATTGAACTTTATTGAACTCAGTGAAGGTAGGTACCTAACAACTAGAACAACAGTATGGCAAATGTCCTTTAAATATTTGTTGAGTAAGTCAATGTCAGATAAAAAGGCTATACTTCTATAAAAATGTCTGATAAGATATAAATATTGGCATACAAAGAACACAGGGGCAGCCATGAATAATTCTGCAGAACCCTCCCTAACTAATTTCTATGATAGTATTTAAAAAAAATTAAACCAACCAAATTTATTCAGTTTTTTAGGATGAGAAAAACAAATGATGTAAAATGAGTAATAAGAAGTGGTCTTATATTACCATCTCAAACCACTTTCAATATTTTACAAAATGCTTACATTGCAAATATGAAGCTTTAATACTCTTAAAACTTCTGCTGCAATACAAAACAACATTAACATATAAATTTTTCTGTACCAATTCTAAAATTTGAATTACTGAATTGCATACTAATTTTAATGGTGTTATCCATGCACATTTTATTAATGTACTTTTAATGAGATAATTGCTTATACACACCTTATTTTTTATTTTTTTGCAGAACCAAGGATTGAACTCAGGCCCTTGCACTTGCCAGGGAAGCGCTTATTCCACTGAGCCATCTCCCCGGCTCCCTACACATTATTTTCCTTAACTTTATTTGTATATGAAGTCAGTGTCTGTCTTGCAGTCATCAAAAAACTTACAGCAAATTATACAATTTTGACTCTAGTTTCTTTGAGTCAGCCACATCTTTCTAAATTATAAAATCATAATTAGCACAAATTGCAAACATACCCTCTCTATGCACAACTATTTCTCAGGTCTGCTCCATTAAAGCCCTCTGAAAGCCTCACACTTGCTTCATAATGTATTTCACCATGCTTTGTAATGGGACCTGCATGGATTTTTAATATATCTAATATTGCTTGTTCATTTGGTTTTTCAGTTTTATTTATGCATTTATTATTTTTGCAGTACCGAGGATTGAACTCCCTATCTTGTGCTTGCCAGGCAAGTGCTTATGCCACATAGCTATCTTCCCAGGCTGCTTGTTCATTTGGTAAATCAATATGTATTTTTTAATCTAATCTTGAATGCAGCAGTGCAGGATCCAATGTACCTGTCCTATTTGTAATCATAATCATTTTAACTCTATGCAGAGTATCAAACCCATCCATCTGATTCAGTAATTCCATTAAAGTTCTAGGAATTTCTCTGTCAGCTGAAGTATCATCAGAAAACTGACGACCAGCAGTAGCATCAATTTCATCCATAACAATGATGCATGACTGGTGATACCCTGAATAATTAAACATTTCTTAAATCAAAGGAGCACTTTCACCAGTGTGAACTAGATATAACCTTTAGTAGAACTAGATACAACCTTTAAGAAATTACAGTCCATCTAGCAAGCAACAGCTCATGCCAGGAGTGTTTTCCCTGTGTTTGGCGGTCCATATAACAAACAGCCTTTTGGAAGTATTATTTTTACTCGGTGGAACAATTCTGGTTTTTGCTCTTTCCTCTCTTAATTCCTGAGTCTGTTCTGACAGTCCTCCAATCTCAGAGTAAAAACATTCCCGGGGTCCTCATGAGACATATTGTAAACCAACAGATCCACCTCCCTTGGTAAATATCTCATGATAGTGTAGTCATATTCAAAGCAACTCTTGTTTCTGGCTTCAGCTCACTTTTGTCAGGCTTCACCAACTACTCACAGCATATCTCGGTCCATTTGAAGCTGTAACAATGAATTTTTCTTCAGCTAATTGTTTGAGCACTTTGCCCACTTTGTAGGCCCTTCAGATCATTTTCAGACTTTTTATACTTCCTGGTAAGTTCTTTTAATTGTACCTTAACTGCTTCAGATGGCTTGCAATCTCCTTGTGCTCTAGCAGTTTCTTAAAGTAGTTTTAAGTGTTTTATCTCTAGGGTGCACCATGAGAAGCCTCTTATAGTATTTTTATATCAACAGCCAAACAGGTTTATAAAACCCAAGAGACTTCTTCAGTTATCTCTTTTGTCAGTTAAAAGTTAGTTTTAAAATTTTTTCAAACCTAAATTTTAGTAAATTTTGAATAAAAAAGGTACATCCAACAGGGTAAATTCATTAAGAAGCCATAGGGGCAGGGAGGAATACAAGAATCAGTATAATAATCCCAAAGAATTAACATTCTAAGAAATTTTGGAAGTAATTAAAATTTTCATAGTTTCTTTTGCCATTTAGGTCTATCACTATTCTTGCATTTATCTCTAGGAAATAATAACTTTTTTCATAAGCTAATGGAAAGTGTTTGTTGGGTCTATAACATAGTCCAATTTTATTGAACATGAAAAGAAATCCAAGACAATCGGGCTACATCTTGGGAACTTTAAATGCAGATCGTGTGATTGGAGAGACAGGATCAAAATGGGGAACTCAGCTGGAGTTTCCTCCTTTGAATCTTATTCTGGAGATTTCTACAAGCAAGGGGGATGTGGACAGAACTCAGATCATAACATTAAGACTCTAGCTGATACTTCAAAGGAAATAGGAAAAATAGAGAGATAACTGTGAAACACTAATGTTAAGCACTAGCAAAATGAAAACAGAAACTGAATAACTAATAGAGGGAGCAGAACTAAAGAGCCAGAGAATACAAGAATTATAATAATACTAATAAATATTTCCAAGGACAAATAAAATGCTACAAACAAAGAGGGACACGAAGTTAAATATTAAAAAGCCAATCAGATATAGAAATAAAAAGTTTAATTCATAGATTGAATAAATATATTTGACAGCAAATTAATGAGATGAAGTGGAGCTTAAAACATCCATGAAAGGCAACAAAAATAGAGGAAAAAAATTAAAGAAAATTAAAGAGTATGAAAATTAGAAAAAAGGTATCAATACATAACGAATAGTGGGGTTAGAGTGAAATACAAAAGTGAAATATTTGAAGAACTGTGAATTAAAATTTATCCACAGTGAAGGAAAGATTGAACAGACTCATTGTGCACCAAACAAAAGAGCTAATGTGTTAACACTTTGACACATTAAAATAAAATTTAAGAAGAAATAATTCTGAGAAAAAAGCAAAACGTTTAAAGATCTTGGAGATGTGCATATAAACACAAGGAAGTATTATTCATCCATAAAGAAGAATAGAATCCTGTTTCTTGCAGCAAAATTGAAGGATCCAAAGTGCATAAAATTGAGGTAAATAAGCCAGTCATAGAAAAAATAATTCGAGTTCTCACATGTGGATATTAAAAAAAGTTGAGATGATGTAGAATAGGAAATACTTTAGGATGGGGGAAAGGAGGACACATAAAAGGCTGACTGGATTAGATCAGAGTGAAATAGGATATTGAACCCCATTAATATGCACAGTGAGTCTAGTAGCCAAAAAATTTTAAAAGATCAAATAAAAATAAAACAATTTGCAAAGAATCCTAGGAACATGGCAAACTGATGGAAGGATAGAAGATGTACACCACAGTATAAAAGCATCCTAAGTTACTGGTTTCTTTGGAAAAATAAGAAATGAAGATATTGACTAAATTTAGGACATGATGGAGAAAAGCAACCTAAATATGGATTTTAAGTTAGGAATAACCTAAAAGAAGAAAACAGAAAACAAACTTCATAACTAGAAGAAGTAACATTGACCCATGCAATTGACAGTAGGAAAGGAGAAAAGGGAAAAAGATAGAAGAAAAATTAGAAAATAGAAAACAGGAAACAAGATAACAAATGTCTTAATGCAGCAATAATTACAAAGAACACTAATAAATTCAACTTACTAGTGAAATTACTGACATTCTCACACAAAAATAAAGATGACCCAGCACTACCACATGTACAAAAATATAGTGAAGCAAATAAATAATGTGTCTACTTTTAGTATTGCGGCAGACATGGTGTTTCTAGGGCTGCTGTAACAGATTGCCACAAACTAGGTAGATTAAACAGATATTTATTTACTCACAGTTCGTGGGGCTAGAAGTCTGAAAGCAACGGATCAGCAGGGATGCCTTCCCCAAGAGTGGTCTTGGCAAGAACGTTTCCTTGCCTTTTCCGAATTCCTAGTGTTTGTGGCATTTTTGGTTTGTAGACGTGTTATTTCAGTTTCTGCCTCCTCTGCACATTCCCTCCTCTGCTCCTCTCCTTGTAACATTAGTAATTGAGTTTAGAGCCTGGTCTACTGGAGTAGACCTCATTTTAATTAATTACATCCACAAACATCCTATTTCTAAGTATGGCCATATACAGAAATTCCAGATCAACATGAATTTTGGGGGAATATTATTCCTCTGCAGTGTTTGGAGGGGTCCTCCTGCAGAAAAACTAGATCTTGTATAAGATACATTTTCTAATGCACTCTTTGTGTTGCAATAAGTTGAGGCATTTCTAAGCTATCTGTGTAAACATCAGCTTTAAAAAATTCAGTAATATAATTTCACCTTTTTATTATTACCTATGAAAGTATCTGGTAGGAAAATAAGACACTATTC